CTAAGACCTCCCGGTCCAATGCCGGCGCCGCTGGCGCCCATCGCCATCCCGAAGCCCTTCCCCGCGGCACACGTCCAACCGGGCAACCTGCGCTTCCACATCCCCGTGTCAGGAAGCACCGGCGGCGGCGGCGGCAGCAATGGCGGCGGCGGCGGGCCTGCCGCTCGTACCGCCGCTGCCGCCGCCAATCCGTTGCGCAGCTCCGCGCCGGCTGGCCTGGGCAGCCCCTCACCGTCAGGATCGCTCCGGCCCACGCCATCCCTCATCACAGGCCCCGCTGGACTGCTCCCGCTGGCGACGACCTCATCCAGCATTTCTGGCAGCGGCGGCGGCGGCGGTGGCGGCGGCGGCTCCCGGCTGAGCAGCCCCTCCGCCGATATGAACTGGCTACCTGCAGTACTGCACGCTGGTGCCATGACGCTGCCGCCTCGCGGCGAACCCCACCTGTTGCCCCCCGTGGAGCTGCCGACACACAACCCCGCATTGGCCCCACCGTCGTCGGGCACACCCGGGTCTGCGCGGGGGGGTCTGGCGACGCCAGGCAGTGCGGGCTTTCGTCCCTGCCTGGAACCAATACCCGACGCACCGCGACCGCGTTCCGCGGGCACACCCGCCGGTTCAGCGGCCGCGGCGGCGGCGGCGGCACAGCCGCCACTGCTGTCCACTAAGACCGGCTCCGCCGGCAGCCTGACGGCGGCGGTTGTCGCTGCCGCTGCCAAGCAGACGTCACAGCGGCCGCCCGGCAGCCCGCCGGCCCCCATCGCGCCCTTGGATTGGGTACGGGCCCGCAGCCCAGCGACGGGCCTGGTGGGCCTTGTGAGCATTGGCGAAACGCCGACTATATCAGCCGCGGCGGCTGCGGCAGGGCCGGTGACGGGCATCGACGGCGCAGCTGCACCTATCGGCCCGGGGTCGTCCCGCCCGCAGTCTCTCGGCGGACGGAGCTTATCACCCAGCCGCCGCAGCCCCAGCCCCACACGGGGGGAAGGGGGCCCTGCGCAGCTGCCGGCGCGGAAGCCGCCGCTGCCGCGCTTCCCCCCCGCGGGACCGGGGGCAACTGGCAGCTAGGGACACGACCAAGCTGCCACAGCCCACCGAGGGCCTTTGGAGGACGTGGGCGGAGGAGGGTGGGGTCGCCTCAGGATTTGCAGCGGTTGGTCGTTGCAGCGGGAAGTCGTTGGGGGAAAATGTCTTTATGGCGGGGGGCGCCTGTGGCGCCCGGTATCCTTCGGATGCGGAAAGTTTTCTTTTGAGTCCTTTGTTTCTTTCCTAGGCAGCGGTTTCAGTGGATACAGACGGAGAGGGACGCATTCATGGCACGGGGCAGCACTGAGCAGGGAGGCTGTCCTGGAGGCGGGTCAAGCGGGAAAAGTAGTCTCTCTTTGCAGGTGAAGTAGCTTTGGTTGAATGTGAGAGGGGGTGGGCCGGAAAGCAGCGATCGGCAGGAGGCCAGCACTGCACAGCGGTCAGCTGTGTGGAGCCGGAACAAGGTCCTGCAGACGCGAGACACCTACAAACCTAAACAGACACGCACAGCTGCGTGAGTGCATGTAGGTTACGGCCATGATGGCCTTGGAAGAGTGGGGGATACGCCGAAGAGGCGCGCGGGGGAGGAGGTAGGGGGAGCAGGACTGCGTCCTGTGCGCCCTGTCGGGTGAAAGTAGGAGCGGGGCCGTGTGGGCGGATGGAGAGCTCTGAGCTCGTGAAGATAACTGCCATCGCCCGGGGCCCACTGCATCACAGCACAGCTCTGCTGCGCTTTAATAGTAGTTGTGTAGGTGCGCTGACATCTTGGTAAAACTGCACAATCAAACACCTGCAATTTAACCGTTTTTGAGGCTATGGGCTGTTGGGGGGAGGTGCAGATCAGCAGCGAATCTGGGCTACATAGGCGGCGGCTGCAATGTGGGGGAGAGGTTCAGGAGGGCGGTTTAAGGACTAGGCTTGTAAGGCTTTGGACGTGAGCATCGTAGGAGGACGAACGCTGTGTGCTAATTGCGTTATGCCCCTTCCTGCGCGGTTGCTGCTGTGCGGTTGACATGCAAATGGCCGCCTAGTCAGTGGGTACGTAGTTCGCGGCGTCTTCAGCGGAGTGACCCCGTTGCCGCGTCTTTGCTGCATATTTGCATTATTGCGGAACGCCCTCACACCGGGCATGGCCTGGCCTCGCTCCTGACTAGGGCAGTAGGGTGTGGGGGAGTGCTGGGGTGGGGCGGCAGTCAGCAGTCAGTGTGGGAAAGACCGTTGGAACGACGATTGGGGTGCGGCAGCTCCGTTCAGAAGGTAATGACTAAGAAGTTCCTATCAACGAAAAGGGGGATGGGGAAAGCGCACCTGTGTCTGTCTCCTCAATCATTGGCATCATCCTTTACGTGAGATGCACGTCAACGCGTGCGGGGAGTCTGGCCCCAACCAGGAAGGGACACACACCTTAGACACACAGGGCCCGTCCGTTAAAACAATAAACAATTAGCAGCTTCCCAAGCTAAATTGGCAGTTCCTTTTTAAATTTCATCACTTCATCACAACTCGAAGCCGTTGCAGAGCTCACAGTGGGGCCGAGAGAGGGGACCCGTTGGGACATAGCAGCGAAACGCCCGGGGAGCTGAGCAAGCCCGATATGTATATGCCGTATACTAGCACACGTACACTCCGAGGTCTGCCCTTCTCGGCCCCCAATTCCCAACCACCATAGTTACAAGTAAAGCACCAGCTGCCATCACCAATCTTGTTCAGCTTTTTATTATCGGATAAATCGCCCACATGTCGCACCACAGACACAAGTTTCCAGAGTCCCAAACTCGCACTGGTGTGCCTTATAAAGCGCTCCTGGGGAGCCCCATCCGACCGAAGGTGAATGCCTTGCGGTGCGTCCTGTTGAAGTGCTAGAGTGGCGGCCGCTCCGTGCACAGCTGGGCCCCTGCAGCCAGCTACCTGAATGAATCTGCAGCCATGACGTCAGTGTGGGAGCGACTTCATTGGCGGACATTTGGTGACCAAGAAGCCGCCGCCGCAGCAGCAGCAGCAGGTTGATAAGGCGTTCCGACGCGATGCCGCCTACACACTTTCTCCCTCTCTCTCTCTCTCTCTCTCTCTCTCTCTCTCTCTCTCTCTCACACACACACACACACACACGCATGCACGCACGCACAGCAGGCCCCACTGGGGCAAGGACGGAGTGGGCGAAGGAGGGAGAGGGAGAGGATAGCGAAAGGGCAGTCCGAGGATTACTGCCACGACTGCCGGGGCCCCGGGGTCAAAGGTCCTTCTCGGACACCTGCGAGTGTTGGCGGCGGTGGACGTGGGAGCGCGCGGAGACCGTTTGGACGTTGCATGTCGGCAGCTTCAGCCTTTACCAAAGGATTATTCACCAAGACCACCAAATTGTGTTTTAGGAGTTGGAGGGGTTGCCGGGGTCCGTCAACAGGATGCTGACTGAGGTCTGCAATACGGCCAGCGTTTCGTGGTGTTAACCTTTCCTTCTACTATCTTTCCTGCCTCTTACTTGGCTTTCCTGCTTTCCTGAATGCTCTGAATGGATCCTCTTTTTCTCAGATACCCCAGCCGCGCCTCACTCGAGTCCTCGCGTCCCTCATTCGTCCCTCCCCCCGGAAGAAGTCCAGGGCCTCCTATCACCACAATCAATGAATACCAGCCAGGGCGGGGCTCACCTTGAAGCCATTGTCGTTCATGGCCTTGAAGCAGCGTTTGGCAATGAATAGGTAGTGAGTGGGGATCAGCGGATTAAGGCCCTTAAAGTCGGCCTGCGAAGGGAGGGAAAGGAGGGTTCGCGGCGGGGGGAGGGCCCGCGCTGCCATGTGGAGTTTGCCAGGGCAGTTGCTGGTTGTGACATGTGGATAAACGGGCTTTGCTTGTTGGCAAACGCGTACATGCGTGTACGCGTATCTGTGTGGTAAGGGACCGGGATGGACCCCGCCTACGGACGAAGCTATTAACACGGCCACCACAGTCGTCATCATCGTTATCGTCGTCATCGTCATCACCATCACCGTCACCGCCTCTCTTGCTATTCAATACTATTATCACCACCATCGTGCCGATTGCAGCGGCCGCCAGTGACCCAGCTTCCTTGACAACAGCGCGAGACCCCAAACAGTCGGATCACGGCCCTGCTACCTGATAGGCGATGAACATGAACAGCGGGATCATGAGGGCCAGCCACAGAATCTGTCGAAGGAATGTTGCGGCGGCGGCAGGAGGAGGCGGGGTCGGTCAGGAGACGGAGGAGGGCTTCATGGAAACCTGGGTTTGGCTTTTTTTGTCCTGATCACAGGTGATGTCGGAGAGAATAACATGGGAAGTATGCGTCTGGAGAACGGCACCTACCGTTGGAAGAGGCAGCAGCATCAGTACTGCTGGGTGCGCAACTCCCTCGTCCTGTAAACACAGTGTACACGTATCTAGTGTGAGTTGCCATAGTATGTGAAATATAGGTCCGACCATCTTCTACACCCAGTGTTCCCACATGTATTTTATGCATCAACCCGTAGAACACGGCGGTCAGGCTCAGTCTGCGCGAGGGCCACAGCCTTGATTTAGGGTTTCATCAACAAAAACCGTCTAACCACAGAAAACTGACGTTATGCTTACGCTAGGAATAGGGCACTAAAAGTTTGGGGTGTGAAGGCAAACTTCTTCCTCCGGTCGAGGATGCCTTCTTGTGCCATGGTGCGCCCTGGCAGTAACGGAGCTGGAAGCGCCCAAAGGTGTAACACGAGATTCAATCTTCTCAAAATTGCTTAACCTTGCACAAGTTCTTCGATAGAAGTCAACGTCGAAGGTAGTACGCTCCGGAACCAAAATTGCAGCTGCCATTTGCAACGAACACAGGCAAATGTGCATCTAACTCAGTCCAAGTACATGTGCTGGAAGCTTTGCAGACATAATTTTGCTGATTCGCTGTTCAGGATCCCGTTCTCGCCGAATCCGTGCACGTTCAATCATGTTATTGCAGTTCCTGAGTACTATCTCATAGTAGGATGAAACCGCGTGGTGGTAAGAGGGCTGGAAGAGGCGGCGGCGGGCGTCAGGTGCGAAGCGGTTAGCCTGTCACCGGCATTGATGTCAAGAACTTACGGTGTGTGGGTCATCGTGTCCACAGGCTAACACTTTGGGGCTATCCCGACGGGGCAGGGGACGCTTCAGCAAGCCGGTTCAGAAAGACAAAGGGTGAGGCGGCTGGGCTGGGTACGACGGCAGGGGAAGGGCCTCCCCTGTTCCTCCACCCCGGTGTCAGCTTTTAAACCCTTCCCTCCTCTCCCCCAACCCTCATCTTTCTCACATACGCACACGCGCTATAGGCCGGAGGCGCGCAGGAAATGGCTGCACCACTGCCTCCGGAAGCTGCAAAAGGTAGGATTTTAGGCAGGGTACGGCAAGATACGACCGTGCAGGCGGCGCCACGAAGCGGTACCCGCCTTACCCTACCCATCCCCCAGGGGCGTGTGGAGTCCTGTGCCGTACAACCCATTCGGACCTCACCTACCTATTGGTCTGTCGCTGGTCTGTTTCGCACTCCGGATCCGCCATTGCGGGGGGAAGGGGGGAATGGCTTTTGCGTGGACTGGACAACCTGATGGCTTGCCGGAAGCTTTTTAACTGCAATTGATTTGACTGACCGGAAATCCTAACGGAGAATGTGCGTGTATGTAGGCCTTTGTTATGGTAGGCCAGCATTATTCGCATATTTACGTGCGTGTGCGTTTTAAGTGCTTGTGTGTGTGAGTGAGTGTGTATGTGTCTATGTGTGTATGTGTAATGTTGTGCAGGCGCTCAAAAACGCGCGGATTTTCGAGCAGCGGAAGCTGAAGCGGCGTCTGGTGCTGATACTGCAGCAGCAGCAGCAGCAGCAACAGGCGGGGCAGCAGCAGCAGCAGGAACATGGAGCTATGGTTGCGGCACGGAAAGAGCAGCAACGGCAAGGTGCGTGTCAACAAAGACTGAAAAATACCCCCGTATGTATGTGTGTATGTATGCGCATGTGCTGTTAATGCGCCGCCCAACCGATTAAACCCCGGTGGGTGGTAGTGGGTGGGTGGCGTGAGCTCCGCTCCCTCCGTGGCTGACGGTTCCCAGAGCGCCTGACCGGTCCGGGAGGGCTGGGAAAGTGGGGCCCCATAAACCCGCCTGCACTCTTCACACGGTTGCTGCCTCCTCCCCCACCCCCTTTCCCACCCCCACCCCCTTCCCCACCCCCCCTCAGACGAAGAGAAGCTCAGATTCCAACTGGCGATCTCCCAGACCCTGCATCTGGATGCGCTGGCCGTCCAGGTGCGGGTTGTTGCCCACACCTCCGGGCCACCTCACTCTCCTCCTTTAGGCCCTTTCGGGATGGGGGGGCCTGGGCGCTGCGGTGCCATGTGCTGGTGCACTGCGTTAGGACTATCTTTGTGCACTGCTTAAAAAGTGGTTTCACTCGGACTGTGTTGCTGTCACTCATGACTTGAGCCACACCGCGAAGATCGGAGACACAGTGACGGGGGGTGGGGGGTATTTGGGTGGTTGCATGCCCCCCCGGTGCCTGTCGGGCTGCGGTTCTTCCAAGACACAATTGACACACCAAGTTTGTTGAGCATCATCATCATCACCCAATAATATGAACCCCCCAAATCCCACCCCAACCCCCACTACCGCCCAACCACTAACCCACCGGCCTGGGGGGGGGGGTCACGCAGCTGGCGGTCAGGTCGGGCTTCCCAGAGGACCTGGTGCGAGCTGCTGCTGCCTCGCGACGACCACCACCGCCACCTGCAACGACACAACCACCCCGCAATGCAAAGAACAACCAACAACCGCAACAGCAGCAACAATCACAAACGCCACAATCACAATCACAACAGCAGCAACCGCAGCAACAACCGTGGCGGGGTAATGAGGGGCAGCAGGAACAGGAACAGACAGCCGCCGAGGGAGCACCTGGCTCCGGCCAACTAGACGGAGAGGCCGCTGCCGGCGGCGGCGGTGGCGGCGGCGCATCTGTAACGATGGCGGCGGTGCTAGGCGGGCGGCTCTTGCGGGCGTCGTGTGTACGGAAGGCCGTGGAGGAAGCCCGACGGGACTTCGAGGCCAAATTCGGCGGGGGTGAGTCCTTCAGCTCCTTACCTAGCTGGTACCTTCTCCGCTATCTGCGCTATCTGGGCGAACCGTCTGATCATCAGGAAGATAATTAGGGGGGGAGGGTCCAAGTTGTTGGAATTGGTGGGGATGGGAAGGAGGTGGAGGTGCATTCAAAAGGGAAGGGGGTGGAGCTCTTCGAGCTTGGGGACTGCCTAGTCAGTCAGTCTGTGTCTGTGTCTGTCTAAGTGTCTCAGTCTGGCTGTATTGGGCTGCGCGGGATTGCCAGGGACCGTGTGTGTGTTGGTGTGTGTTGGTGTGTGTGTGTGTTGGTGTGTGTGTGTGTTGGTGTGTGTGTTGGTGTGTGTTGGTGTGTGTGTGTGTGTGTGTGTTGGTGTGTGTGTGTTGGTGTGTGCGTGTGTGTGTGTTGGTGTGTGTGTGTGTGTTGGTGTGTGTGTGTGTTGGTGTGTGTGTGTGTTGGTGTGCGTGTTGGTGTTGGTGTGTGTGTGTGTTGGTGCAGTGGTACGGTACTGAAAGAAGTTGTGGCTCTGTTCTCCTTGATAGAGGTGATGGTGGTGATGTGCCTCTGTCCCCTTTGCAACAGCCGCGCTGGGGCCCGAGGAGGAGGAAGAGGATGGGGAGGGCGGCTCAACGGAACCGGATTCGGAGCAGGGTCAGCAGCGAGATGCCAATGTGGGTGGAGATGAAGGTCCCTTCACTGAGGACGAGGACGAAGACGAGGACGGGGAAGAGGGTGGGTGTATCGGGGCTGGGGGAGTTAGCGGAGAGCGCGATGAGGATGGTGGGGTCACGGCAGGGACAGCGGCGATGGGGGGAAATGATGGTGAGGATGAAGAACAGGCGGAGGAGGAGGAGGAGGATGCAGATGCGTTGCGGCCACGGAAGAGGAACCGCGGGGTGGTGACAGTTGCATCCGACGCCGTTGATACGGCACCAACAGGGGCTAGCTTTGGGACGGGGTCTCAGCGGTTAGTGGTCTTGCCCCTTGTGGTTGTTAAAAAGGGGCAAGGCGGGGAGGAGGAGGAGGAAGAGAAGAGGCGTGTGCGGGGATCAACCACGCATGGTGGTGGCGAAGGTGATGGCGAAGGCGGTGGGGCCGGGCATGGGGAGGAAGAGGAGGAGGAAGGGGAGGGGGAAGGGGAAGGGGAGGACAGCGGTGTCATCGAGGACGCGGACATTGACGAGTTCATGGCGGAGGCCGCCGCAGCCCGTGGTGGCGGCGGCGACGGCGTCAGTGGCGGCGAGAGTGCGGACGATGCTGGCGGCGACAGCGACAACAACGTCATCGACGACGGCGACGACGACGGCGATGACGACGACGAAAGCTTCAACAGCCAAGAGTTTGACGAGCCCGTGGCGCAGAGGGGCCAGATCCGCGATTTGACCGGACCGAAGGACCGTGAGGTGGCGTCCGCGGCCGGACGCAGTGGCAAGGTTGTGGGAGCCAAGCGGCGTCGCGACAATACTGCTACTACTACTGCTGCTACTGCTGCTGCTGCTGGTGGTGGCGCTGCCCAAGTTCCCGGTGCTGCCCCTCTGAGATCCAAGGCCGCCGGGGCGAGCGGCGGTAACCTCGGAGTGCAGGTCCCCCCTCAGGCGAAAGGCAAGCGGATTGCGGCGGCGGCGGCGATTGCCAGTTCAAAACGCCCGGCCGCTGCGGCGACGACGGCAGGGGCAGGAAGAGATCGCCAGGATGTGAATAAGTTGAAGTCGAAAGAGAAGGGCAAGGATGCCGGCGGCGGCGGCCGCTGCGGTGATCCGCTGCTCCTGGACCGGAAGGGCAAGAACCGCCTAGGGCAGAACGCTAGACGGCGGCTTTACGAGAAGCTGTACGGCGCGGATGCAAGGCATATGCAGGAGAAGCTGCAACAGAAGAAGGTGCGTTCCAAGAGCGAAGGGTTATATCATACCTAACATGCATCTATCTATAAATGTATATAGATTTAGATATTTGTTTTAGGTATGGATTTATTAAATTTGGATATGATATTTAGATGGAATGGAAAGCGACCGAAACGAAACGAAGCAGGAGCGGAGCAAGCCTCATGCGTTGATGTCTTGGCAACCCTGTGGGAATAGGGGTGGGGGGAAGCGATGGCAATGGTGCTGGTAAAAGTGCAGCTAATTTCTTAGAGTACTGCCAAACTTCCTGGGTGGTTGGGGCCGCCGACAGGTGGTATGGGGGCCGGAACGATACAACGCGAGGTAGAGACGCTCAACGGCCCAACTGGGGAGCTGGGCTCAAATAGTTAGCAGTTATTAGGGGGTTGTTGTCAGTTGTCGGTTTTTCCTGGTTGTTCGTTGTTGAGGTTAGTACTTCAGCTTGTGATCCGTTACTGCTGCTGCCAGTGCTGTTAATGCTGCTGCTACTGTTGTTGCTGTTGGTGCTGCGGCTGTTGCTCGCTGGCTGTATCGCACACATGTCGTGAAACAGGCGGCGGAGCGGAGGTCACGCGGAGGAGGAGGGGGAGGGGATGCGGTACCGGGGAGACACAACAGTGCTAGCGGAGGTGCCGCCGGCCGAGGCGGCGGCCGAGGCGGCGGCGGCGGCGGTGGTGACGGCGGCGGTGCCGAGCAGCTCCACCCCTCCTGGGCTGCGAGGCAGCGCCAGAAGCAGCTGCTGCAGCAGCAGACGGCGGCGGCGGCGGCCCCCAAGAAGATCAAGTTCGACGACGAAGATGACGACAACGGCGGCCGCCGCCGCGGCGGCGGTGTGCAGGATGGACCCATGGGCGCCGGCGGGAGGGTCGCTGCTCCGTCCTGTCAGAGGCAGTCCGCAGCGGGTTCGCGGGGGGCCGAGGGTGGCGGGCGCATGGACCGGAGGGAAAGTGGCGGTCGTGGCAAGGGCAGCGGCAGAAGCGGCGGTAGCGTCTTGGGTGGTCGAGCAGGAGCTGGACGTGGCCCCGGGAGGGGGGTTCAGCACACCGAGCGTGCTGGCGGAGGTGGCGGAAGTGGCGGTGACGGCTCGTTGCATCCGTCCTGGGAGGCGCGCCAGAAGCAGAAGCAGCTGCTGCTGTCGGCGGCGCCCTCGGGCAAGAAGATTGTTTTTGAGGAGTGATAGATGGAACGCAGCGGCGCGGCTTTTTGGAGTGAATGTAATAAATACATACAAGTCGTGAAGAAGATTCCTCCCTTAGTGGTAACGCGGGCCCCGAGGCCCACGAGCTTGCTTTTGCAGTCGTTTCTAGTGACGAACCCCTCCCACACAGACGATTAGGGCGTGGGAAGCGATTGTTTGCCACGAATACTGGTTCTAGTCCGTTTGTTCGTCTGACCGTTTGTCCGCCGTAGATGCTTTGGCTCGTCAAGCGGCCGTCATGCATGCCAGATAGACATTGGTTGAAGGAATGTGGACGCCTGTGTGAAGGAATGAGGCTCAAATAACACTTTCCTCGTCAACATTTTCCTTCTGCTACTCTTCCTTTATCCGTGTCGACTTATAGTTACAATATGAATACCATGCATCGGAGATTCTACCACAAAAAGCTGCGGGTAAAACGAAGAGAACTTGCAGCGCATTGATCAACCGTCTTTCCTTTTCATCAGTCAAAGAACTTTTGATACATTTCTTGCCAGAACTGCACATCCTCTTTTCCAGTGCAACAATCGCAAAAAAAACATGATACACCTTCCAAGACCCGAAATTTTTTCCCTGTCGTACAGCCTACACAATCTACATTTTAAGCCATATCGCATCATGTATTTTTTTAACAGCAGCCAAGACAAATTATGTGCGCCTGGCCACAGCAACACTCCAAACTCCGCCTACAGATTTAAACTTGCTCCGATCCAAGCGGCGGTGCATGTTCAAAACTGCAAACGGGGCCATTGCCGCTTTAGCCAGTACTGTCACCACCACCACCACCACCACCACCACCACCACCAGCCGCACCACCAGCAGTTAGGCCTTACGCGCCAACCACCTTTTCGCGTACAGATACAGACGAATACAGGAACGCACAGAAACGAGGATTCCAAACTACTACCCTGTTCAGAACTAATACGGCAAAAAACAGATACCTTTGAGGAGGTAGGCCAAGAATCAAAGCCTACGCTCCCCAAACAAAACAACTCACTTCGACACCACTGCGTTTTCCACACAGGCTGGCTGGCAATGACAAGCTATCAACAAAAAACACGCCGGACAATAACGCATAGACGACAGACACACCAGACAGACAAACAGACAGGCAAACAGTTTTCATGAATTTTTTAATCGAGACTTCAGGCCATCGCGGTTAGGCGCTGCAAATTGGAAAACCACATCTCCTTATTTTTGATTTTGTTATAAATAAAAAAAAACTGATCGTGCTAAACCTAAAATGTGTCGTTGAGAATTTCCCCTCGGATACAGCACGAGGGCAGACTTTCTAAACACCTCCCTCAAGCTAACCAACAGAACCTTACCATATTTGACCCGAACAATACGTCTTACGATCTTCACTCTGAGGATTCCAGCCAGCCAGTTGGTCGAGTTGAACGACTGAGAGAAAGGTCGGATGACGCAAGAGGACGAGGACGAGGACGAGGACGAGGACGACGACGACGATAGTCACAAATTAGCGACTCCGAAGGCTGTCGGACGTGGACGTGGACGACCCAGACGAAAGCGGAGAGGAAGTTCACTGCCGGTGGTGGAGCTCTACCACCAGCAAAGACTGCACCGCAAATACCGCTGTGGAAGCCCCTCACAGGCCCTTAATGGCGGAATGCCGCGGCCGCTGCAAGGTCCTCACATACATACATACATACATGCATGCACACATACACACCGATTGGTCACAAGCCCACACGTCACACCTGCGGTACGGCAGAGGTGCAACAGCACACACACATACGCACACACACACACGTACACACATACACCACACGCACACACACAAACGCGCGGGAAAGGGGAATGACAAATTGCTGCACCCCTGACCTCCCCTGCTCACTGATAGACCATGCAATTCTTACGGCAACAGCGTTCCAACCAGTAACACCACCCACATTTGGCGCTTCCTGCACGACATAGATGACCATTACCTTCATGCAACGCAGGACATAATCGCGGATCGCAATCCCTCCTCCGCTCGGACAACCACCTTCGCACAAATAGATAGCAGAACTCATCCTGCCTCGGGAAAACAAACTAACCAACAAGCAAACAAACAACCTTGCCTTCAAGGACCTGATGCTGCATTCTTCGGAAGCATTTTCCCCTCAAATTTCTTTTTCGACATTTTTCTCAATTTCTTTTTCGACTGCAGGACAACACAGATTGCAGCAATCTCTCCGATCTCCACCACCATCTCAAGATCCCCTTCCCTGCCTTCGTGACCATGCGAATAACCAGAACATGCGAATAACCAGAACATCCCAACCAGAACATCCTTTTTTTCAAAGCGAGCTCTAGTTCGAAGGTGGACATCCGCCGTCGATTGGCCCCTAAAGCCATATAAGCCCTAAGCCGCGCTATCCTGAACATTCTTAGCCATTTCGCCAGCCAACATAGCTGCGTACGTACGTACGTACATACATACATACGCTAAACAGCTCGGTGCATCCTGATGTGGGCAGACTCCGCGGTCGACTGCTGCAACAGTGTGGACACCGCCCATTGCGTCAAACCCCGCCAAAAGCCAATAAAACCCCTCCGGAAAGACAAGACCTGCCAGCAACAGCCAACTATAACACCCCCACGTATCTGCCAAGCGCCCGTCACCTGGTCAGAAGGCGGCCCATCCTCAAACAGAGCTCATACACCGCAGCGCCTCCTCCTTTCTTCAAGACAGGCGAGAACACACGTGAAGCTGCCATACCGGCAGCCTTCACACCTCGTTCACCACGCAGCAACTCTCAAGCGTTACTTAAACTTGTCATCTTGCTTTCAGCATTTCGTTGAACAGTCCCCCAAAAAAGTAAATTACCGATATCCGGATCCGCTGAAGCAAAAGCAGAAACAGACGGCAATAGCAGGAGCAAGAGCCAAAAGCCAAATACGCGGCGCTCCGAAGCGGCAATCTGCATAGTTCGTCCTGAGACTCTCTAATAATCTCCTCCTAATAGATTTGATCTGATATTGCCTCAGGACACATACAACACCCACCATATCCCATTCCACTGCCAGAACAATACTCCGCGCAAAGAGACAGCCGCCGCGGACACCAACACGAACTTTTATTAAAAGCCTCGAGACTGCCGCAAATTTTGTGAGCTAAAACTACAGCTGCTACGGAGCAACCAACACAGAAATACAAACTACTGCTACCACTGCTAAAATGTCACATTCCCCGTCCAGATGGCGCGACTGAGAAATGTCGGACCAATAACGGTCGAAAAATGTTCACTGCTTTGTCACAATTTTAAATTAACCTACAACTATCTATCAAGAATTCGGTCCAATCTACGCTAAGCAATTTATGTTTATTCCTCAGCGAAAGTATCCAGGCAGGATTTCCTCCACAAGATGGTTTAGATAGGGCCCACCTCGCCACCTCAATAATCTGCCTGTACCATCCTACCTAGGGAGCCTACTTACTGTCTTCTTTCCTCGTGGTCCACAGACACGCGCCTGCCGGTCGTCAACTAATCCAATAAGTAACGATCAACTGTCAACAGCATCAACGGACACGTTGACGCCCTACTGCTACCCACGTCTCCCACACGGAACGGCTCTCGCCCACCCTTTACGATGGACTGCCCTTCCCTTCCCCGCCGATGGCGCGGTGATGAGGGAGACGCAGCCTCAGCAACAACGTCGTCACGCGACAGCAGCATCCCATGCTACTACGAACCATGGCGGCAGTTCTATAATACCCACCACGGCCAGGACAGTCACAACACAACATTTCGAGTCAGTGCTCTGCAGGCGGAGGAGATATAATAAACGTATCCGCCAGGAGGAGGAGGAGGAGGAGTGCGCAGCAGCACATGAAAACAACACCCCCTCTTGCGCTGCTGCTGACACCCCGAAGTGCTGACACACCAAAACCCCGATCTTCCCTCGTCCATCGTCCTGTAGTACGACCTCCGAAAGTGTATTTCAAAACGGTGCTAACAAAGGCCTACGGCTGAAGTTGTCCGGCTGTACAGGAAAACTGTAAATACACAAGTCCCAGACGCCGCCAAGGGTGCCGTACTAGCCAGGCGCGTGTCTAAGAACTCCGCCCACCTGTTGCGTGAGAAGGGTCGAGGGCCTGAGGAGGCTGAGTCCCCGGACAAGGACATAAGGGACAGTTTCGCTGTCCGCCCTGCACCCGGTTTCGCTCCTGCGCCTGCTGCCACAGTTGTTGGCAGTTGTGCGCGGTAGATAAGACCTATCTCTCCGTCTCTCTCTCTCTCTCACACACAGACAGGTGCGTATGTACGTAAGTATGTACGTACGTACTGACGTACTGCCCTTTGGCGCGGGCCAAAAAAACATCGGAGGGTAGCGGCTGATGTGTAACCACCCTCCCGTCTGCATGACGCGCCTCGGCTCTCACTGTATCGTCTCATATATACATAGGACCACACCGCCCAAGCCACCAATCCACCACTACAACCCCCTTTTGCGGCATTTCCACCACCTCGGATCGGCGAAAAGAACAGGCGGGCAGCACCTAAACAACATGCCTGTGCCAGTACGGCGTCCCGTTGCGTCGTACACCACCCGTCAGGAAGTCCATACGCACCTTCGCGCCTGAACACGCGACGCACTTGTCATCCCGAGCTGGGTCCTCGGACTCCTCACCTCTGAAACGTGCATATTGACCACCGCGCAGAGAAGCCGCACACGTGCATACCATGAATCCATCCATCCACCCACCCATACGTGGCAGCCCCGGTGGTGACGTACTCTCGGCGCGCGGCAGCTGTGAAGCTGTGTCGCTACCAACCTTCCAAGCTCAATGCGAGCTTGCGAAGTCCCCGGTGGGTTCCGTTGCGGTGGGTGCTACCCCGAAGGCCCTTTCCAAGCGGGAGGTACGTGCGAACGCAAAAACAACCGCCGCAAAAATTACCCGTCAACAGCAGCAGCAACAGCAGCAGCAGCAGCCAACCATTCAACAAACGACCAGCTGCCATTAGCCCTCA